ATATATATATATATATATACACAGTATATTTCACTTTATGTGACTCACCTGAGCATTAGAACCCTGACTTATATCCTCCATAACTTGATCAGCACTGTCACTGCTTGACAATTTGATGGGCTGTGGATTATTATCAACAAAAACAATAATAGGCATGGTCATTTATTCGCACTTGCCACAAACCAAGAACAACCATTCTCAGTAAATCTTAAATGTATTTTGCTATTTAATGGCAGCTGACCATGTTTGTGAAAACCATTTTGTGGTGACCACTTGTTTTACCATTTTTTTTAATTGTGTACCTATATTACATTAACCCTTTATGCCCTGAAGGCATTTTGCCCCCCTGAAGGTGTTGTTTTTTCTGAGTGACATACACAAAATAATGACTCATAACTCCAAAAGTGTAACAAGAAGAGTCAAAAGGTATGTATCGTCTGATAGAAAACTTTCTGTAGTTTTAGTTTCCCCATCATGTTAACTGTATCTGTTTCAAATTTTGTGGTGATATCAAAAAGCATCCAAAACTTACATCATTTTGGAACAAAAGAGGCCTTTTTGTTCAGCCCTTGACACCCTGAAGGCATTTTAAAAACTGTTGTTTTCTGAGTGACATACACAAAAGTAAATAACTCCAAACCCGTAGCAAGGCGAGTCAAACGGTATTGTTTGATAGAAATCTTTCTGTATTTTTAGGGGGAAGAAAATCTTTACATTTGGACATTCTCCTGCTGAGAAATATGTGATCAAATGTCAGGAAAAATGAGTGTGCTCAAAGGAAATTTTACATATTTGACATTCAATATCTTAGGAAATGAGGTTGGAGACATTTTTTTTTTTTTTTTTTTTTTTTTTTTTTCCCCAATTCATACATACATATCAATTATTTCATATATTAAAATATATAAGATGATTTCTTTTACATAAAACTCTTAAAATTAAGAGTTTACAGACATTGTGAGCTGTATGTAAACTAAATGTTTGTGGTGATATCATGAAGTAATCAAAAGTTACAGCATTTGGAACCAAGGTAGCCTTTTTCTTAGCCCTTGAAAGCTTGTTTTATTCTACTCAGTGAGACCTTTTAAATGACATATGCCACGTAACTATCTGAGCTGTATGATGTTTTTTTTTTTGACAGAGTACATGGCACAAAAAAAACATATTTTGCAAATCATAAATATTAATATATTCATAAATAAATGCTAAAGTTACTCTGTGACTCACATATTCCTCGCATTCCATTCCATCATCCGACTGTCCCTCTGACATGACTGTGGGAAAATCTCCAAACACCAGCTGAAAGAAAACTTTAGGTTTGATTAATAACTTATAATATCCGAATAAATATTACAACTGAGCGTTTTTAAGTTTGTAAACAAATGCTCCAAGTAGCCTAGTTAAGCAATGCTTAAGTGTGCTCCGAAAATTGTAAGTGCTCCAAATGCTTTAGCAAATCGTTATTGTTCAAATGTAAAAGATTACATTTGAAATCACTTTGAAATCGAAAATTGAAATCACTTTGAAAAAAAAAAGTAGGAAATCGTGCTTAACGCCAAGAGAGGGAGAGAGAGAGAGAGAAAATGGCGAACATCAGACAGACAGCATACCTTTTAAAAATGAACACTAAAGTGTAGGCCTAGATGTTAAATCATAAAGTTGTCAATTGCTCGATCTGTCAGCATTTTATACTTTATGTAGTTATTCCTAAAGTTGTCTTAAAGACTGAAGCGACTGAAGAGAAATGCGTTTACTTTCATTTTCGTTTCGTACAAAACACATACACACCCGTTTGAAGACTTAATTTCATTTTGATCGGTATTGAAGATGAATGCCCGTCTTCACACATATTTGTTCGCGTTTCGCTTATTCTTTGGACTTAAATGTTTGTTCAAAATGACGGTCAATAGGTTTGCAGCGCAGTTCCAGACTTTTACTGTCGTCAATGACAACTTTTACTGACATAGCCTACTTTTTTTCGACAGTAATGTCGATAGTAATATCGAAACATTAAAGAGCAAATAAAAGGACAAATCTGCCCCTTAATCTTGTACTTACCTAAAAGCGAGAGCTTCGTAAAGTGTGAGCTGTCGACCTCTGTTCTGCGCGGTTCAACCTGATCCACTGGTTTTCAGTCGAAGCTAACAAAAGCGAAAGTTGCTGGAGGACACGAGACAGCACATGACAACAATCCAATATACTGTGTTAAAAAGACGAAACTGTTCATTTTACATCTGTGTAGGCTAATACATTTGCTGTAGCCTATATTTTTTTCTCATGCATTAACATCCACATGTCATCTGTACAGAACATATATACCCTCACAGCACACATGTAGCTCAAAGATAATACAAGTCATGTGTTCAGTTAAACACTATCCTTCTACATTAGGGTAAGTTCAACCATTTTCAACCCACTTTGTATTGTTACAATGTTGGTGATATATGTAAAAGAACAATGTTTATTTTTTTCTCAGAGATACCAGTTTATTCGTCAGCAAAGCTCTACCGCATGATGCAAAACACAGCATACTGTCATTTTGATGATGCAAAAACTGTCTTTTTGTCATTTTGTCAAAACTCGTCATTTCATTTTGCGTCTGAGTGTTGCTTACAAATAAAAGGGGACATATAGGTACGCATAACATAAAGAATTGTTGAATAAAGTTGTTATTTTAGTTTTCTTTGCACATAAATAGTATTCTCATGGCTTCTTAAAATTAAGGTTGAACCACTGATGTCACATGGACTATTTTAACGATGTCCTTACTACCCTTGTGGGCCTTGAACGTGGTAGTTCCCTTGCTGTCTATGCAGGTCAGAAAGCTCTCGGATTTCATCAAACATAACTTCATTTGTGTTCCGAAGATGAACGAAGGTTTTGCGGGTTTGGAACAACATGAGGGTGAGTAATTAATGACAGAATTTTCATTTTTGGGTGAACTATCCCTTTAAGTCTTCGCAAGTGAGCATCCTGAGATAGAAACAGGAAAGCAAAAGGAGAAAGATTAGCATAGCTGCTGTTCATATTATTTCAGACAAACGATGATTTATTTCATCACATATAACTGGAGTGCAAGGTTATGAGATGTGTTATGTGAATACTTGGCTAAAATGATGTATTTTTTTTAATCTAATTTAAACTAAAAGAGTGTGTCTGAGTTCCAATCATTATCATGAAAGCTAGTTCAAAGTCTAGGACTAAATAAAAGCTCTACTTCCTTTTGCGGACTTTGATATCATTACAGGTCGAGTACCATAGGTGCTGTTGCCCCTGTTTTTGCTTATTTTGCTATTATCTGGTTTAATCACAATTATTATCAATGTCTTTAATTATCAATTATCAAGAGTTAGAGTAAATATTTCTGTTTCAAATAAATGCTGTACCTTTTAAAAACATTTCATTCATCAGAGCAGCACAGCTGTTCTTAGCAGCAAATCATTAAAAATAAATAGAAAACAGTTATTTTAAATTGTATTCATTTCACAACTCATTATTACTGTTTTACTGTATTATTAATCAAATACATGAAGCTGTGGTGGGCAGAAGAGACTTTCAAAAACATAAAAAAAGCATACCAATCCCAAACTTATGAAATAGTGGTGTATGTTTGAGATTTTACCTAGTCTTATGGTTCATAGCACCTTGGAGATGCTGTCTGACAGGAGGTTCGCTGGGCTGCAGCAGGAAGAATCCAGGAACGAAACAAGCAATTTGTCACAGAGACAGCAATATTTAGTATGCAGTTCCAGGTTTATTAGAAGGAAACAAGCTAGAGCAGAGGTAAATTGCAGGGGGGAAAAAAGAAATAATATCCTCCTGAATACAAGAATTTTTTTTTTTTATTTAGTATTTTTTTCATGTCATTACATTGTTTAGAGCATAAGAAAAAAAATTGAAATTTTTTTTTTTTTTTTAAACAGGGTGACCGTGATTTCACCAAGTACAACATGTTCCTGGATCAACATCCGTGAAAAGGCAAAAACAGTGGGATTTTTTTTTTTATCACCAATCAATTTTTATTTTTTATATACCAAACTTTGTATAAGGATGATTCTCAGCCATGTAATGAAAGATATAACAGAATGATTTAATATACCATTTTCCTATATGCAATATGTGTGTAAAATGGCCATAAACAGGTTTTCCCATTATATACAATGTATCTATACACGGTATCTAATTTGCATATTAATGTGTTTTTGGGGCAACATGTAATGAAAATAATAATAATAATTATTATTATTATTAATAATAATAATTTCTTAAGATAACAGAATTTATGTTTTTAGATTTAGGTTGAGTGTCACTTATGTTTGGATGTCAAAGCCTTCTTAAAATAACTGTAATTAAACTATATATAGAGAGAATTTTGCATTAGAAAATAACAGATGCATGGTGGTATGGGTGAAATATATTGTGAAAACGCATATGAAGTTGTCTAATGAGCTTTCTCAGCTCACCTGTGTTTCATACTTCTCTGTCAGCAGCTCCCTGTTGAAATCTTGGAGCTTCCTCTCTGTTGCCTCTGAATTTATAATCCATGAATGCAATTTATGTTTTTACATTGGGGTTATTTATAATTTTGTTAAAGGGTATTTAACAAATTGCTAATATTGCTCATATTTCGAAAACACTCAGGACATGTAACGATATGCTGAATTTATTCCATCTCTTAAAACATCTTGACTTGGACTAATATGGGGAAGCATATGACTAATGAAGAATTTCAACAGCACCTTTTCCTCATTCTCTAGCTGAGAAAATATCCAGAAGATAGAAACATATTGTGGGGGTTTTATATAGCAGGACATGTCAACTCTTTGCATTGCTGTTGCATAGATGGATTACAACTGAATGTGTTAGAATGTGTTGTTCCAATGATACAGATAATTCATTTTACAAACAAACAATAAATTAATTAAAAAGAAAAAAAAAAGACTGTACAAGTTTTAATATTTACTACAATGTCATGAGACCTTTCAGTCCATTTCATCTGTGGCATTTCATTACTAATGTAATCAAAAGGTTATGTACTGTAATTTATTTGTATTAAATTATAGATATGCAAATGTTTTTCTTTTAATTTTAAGTATAATTATTAGTGTAGTTCTCATAATGTGATAAAGATTCTATGAGCTGTTTAACTAGAAGACTTGATGTTAGTTATGTGTGTTCATCAACAGCTAGCATACACTTGTTAAATAACACATTTTACAGTGCCGGGATAAAGTAATGATCCATTCTGACTAACTCTCCTGTTCATGGTACAGCATTAGAGGATCAAGACTTAGATATTAAAGGTCATTGTCTGTCAAACATATTTTGTTTTTGTACTGTAATATTCCTACTCAAGGAAATCGTTCTACTCTGTTGATCCCCTCCATTTTGTTATAATTTAGTCGGTGTCTGAATAGACCAAATTAACATTAAAATCACACGCATGATACCTTTTTCACGGTCCTGACTACAGAGAGACTGAATAGAGCTGCTGAGAACATCTTTGGTCTTTTGATCTTTGCACAGTTAAATTGCTGTTATCATAAAAACATGTCGCAATGCACCAGTAATAAGATATACGACAACAACGGAGTGGTGAAATAGTGTACATAGACCTCGGAGAAGAGCAAGAGATGATTACAGAAATTATTAGCTGAATGGGCTCTATTCAGAGGTGTAAAGTAGTTGAGCAATTGTACTTCACTATTATTTGGTAATTTGTACTTTACTCAGGTAAACTGACGTCATCCATGTCACATACCTACATTCATGTGAATAAGCTAGCAGCTAGCAGTTACTTTATCCATGATTAGGTTAAGGCTAATACACTGACATGAAGTTAACAAAAAAACTTGATATTAAGTTAACTAATGAAATCTAGAAAGCTTGTAGTAAACCTTACAAACTTTCTTTACTTGCACGCTCGACTGGTTGCATGCTCAGCATGCCTCAACAATTAAGGTAACTTCTATTTGTCACCAGTGTTGGGCAAGTTACTTCCAAAATGTAATACATTATATATTACTAGTTACTGTCTTTTGAAAGTAATTAGTTACATTACAATATTACTGTCTCTGAATTGTAATGCGTTACACTACTTTTGAGTTACTTTTGAGTTACTTTCATCCAAAATATCCACATAAGTATTGTAAAATGCCAAAATGTAGTTTATTGCTGTTCATACTACATTCAGTGGAGTGTAATGTGGTAGGTCTATATAGCATAAAATATGAAATCATATTTAGATACCGGTATGTAGGTCTACATTAATGTTACGTTGTAGTTTAGTTAAAAAAAATATAGTAAGCACAAATCGCATTATTACATTCATAAATAACACTGGTAAATAAAGCGAAATATTATCATGTACAAACAATAAACACAATACCTAGCCTATAGGCTATTTTGAACGGTTTCAGAAGAAAACAAGAATGAAAAATATAAGTTGCTAAACAAGCCAAAATGAATTAGGCTAATTCAATGCGAAACTGAAAGCAAACGGCGTTTCGCGCAGCCTACCTCTCTCATTCGGCATTAATCCAATTAAGTGTTTCCATATTTGCGATGTGTTTGAATGCTTTATGTAATCCAAGCTTACTTAGCGCACTTAAAAAACATCCTCGTCACATGAGCAAATGTGTGTTTGGCCCGAGCTCAGGCTGATCGACACGGATTGTACTACGCAGTAGGCTACGCACTATTTAAATTAACCAGTGTATCTATATGTTTGGTTGACTGTATTTTATTCTGATAATGAACAGGCTGCAACGTTTGCAATGCTGTATGTGTGTGCGTGAGGCGCCGGCGCGATCGAACAGCGGAAACAAACAACAAAAAAATACTCTGTTATTTTTGGTCATAAGATCATTCGAAACTGCAGTGTGTTTACTTTATTTCTGTCATCTCGGTTTCCTTTCCCTGGACTTTCGTAGAGCGCCGCGCCACACAAATAGCCTATGAATCAAACTCGGCAGCATAGCCTATCGCTCAGTCTTTTCCTTTCCTTTTGTTAATCTGTTAATTAGGCTATTTAAGTCAAATATTTCGCATATTCATTCATTTTACATATAGACTATGATTTAATAAAAACAGATTTTATTTTTAGTTAAACTTAATTTTTGTTGCTCGTCCGCCGTCTTTTTCTCTTCTCCGACCCCGCAGCTCTCTCCGGTAGCTTAGTGTTAGTGGCACCAGTCTAGGTGTTTCCAGGTTTTACTCGTGCTATTTCTCCATGTTGAGAGTTTGGTGTCGCACATATTGCACCTGACTATGCATTCTTATCCTTTTCTCCGATGAACTGAAAATAACAGGAGTG